ACTGCACTATTCACTCATTAGGCATAGCTCCTCTCTCGTACAGTATATAGTCAGCCCAGAGCTCTATCGAGCTCCTCAGACCTTACAATACACTCGTTCAATCCACTTTGTTTGGATCTCACTACCTTGTCGACTCGCTTCCCATATGACCCCTCCTCAGCTCATGCAAGACAATCTGTCGCACGTGTCTCACGCGATATCATACCCATGTACTGCACTATTCACTCATTAAGCATAGCTCCTCTCTCGTACAGTATATAGTCAGCCCAGAGCTCCATCGAGCTCCCTAGACCTTACAATACACTCGTGCAGTCCACTTTGTTTAGATCTCAGTACCCTGTTGATTCGCTTCCATATGACCCCTTCTCAGCTCATGCAAGACAATCCCTGATCTGGGTGGCAGTTCTCGGCATTCTCATCGCATGCGGTTGCGATGCAACTCCGAACTCATGCAAACGGGAGACGAAAACTGTTTGCGGTAGTCACGCGTGGCTCTCACGCATGGTTCTCACGATAGTCGCATGCTTTCTCACGATGGTCTCACGTTGCCAAGACTTACCCCTTTTCTTGCACGTATATAGACCTCTAGGTGTACTCCTCTGGCAATCCAATCTAGTTCCTCATATCTCTGTGCTCCCACAAGCTTCACAAAAACCAATGGGACTAAGGAGTTAGGCTAGGTTTCCTAGCATCATAGGTTCAAAGCGGAGTATGGTTTCATAAATATGATCTATAATTATAGTCGTAACTTTATTGTATCTGCAGTCAAATTCGTGAAAGAGTAGACGTGTAAGATCGCCAAAATGACGAGGCCACACTGTGGAAACAAGAGATCGGTTTGCTGAATTACGATTATTTTTAAATAATAAACTGCGAAATAGAAACGTTCGTCTAGTGACTACATGCGGTTCTAGTGGGAGAGACAGCCGTTCTGTTGACCAAAGGTGGGTACCTCAGCGATTGAGTGATTGTGCCTCACGAGGCGGGCTTCTTTACCTCGCCAAGATTAGCCCTAAAGGGTGTTGATACTCCGGTGGTGGTAGATAGCATGCTAGAACAATTACTAGTGCTCGGGGTGCATGATACGTATGGGCTTTAAGAATTCCTTGTAGGTTAGCAACGAGTTGTCGGGTGATTTTTTGGCCGAGACGTCAGCACCAGGAAATGAACTAGCATACCCTGCACAGCGCCACACTTCCCAAGCCAGGAGTTGGACCATACCGGCGCTAAAACCCCAGCTACGCGGGGGCTACCCTTCCCTTCCTGTTTCAATGTCGAATTTGTCATCTTGGATCGTTACGAAGTGAGGGCAGATTGTTCTAAATGGTGATCAAGTGAGAATAGTTGAAGGCCCAGGGAGCTTTCGCTAAAAATAGTTCCCACGTGCCAAACAAAGGACGGAATCCGACGGATTAAGCTGTCGTACAAAAAAAAGTGGAAGGTGCACTGCAACGGGCCATATGAGGTTTGTACGGGCTTGTGTGAGTTGTTGTGGTTGCTTCGTGGTGCGCGAAAGTGGCTGCTGTTGTCCGATGTCAGGGTTTTCCTTTCAACATCAAACATCGTAACCCCTTGTAGACCCCGCACAACACTTTCACTCTGTCCCATCACCGCTACCGGGGGAGGTACTATCCGTCCAGCTCGTCTTGCGTGCTATTCTACAATCAAATAGGCGCCTTGGGGATGTTGCGAATAAATGCTACCCAACACACCTGAGAAACGGCGAGAATTTGGCACCTCCGTGCAGAGCGGTAAGTTGACTACGAAACCTTCTTTCTACTAAGTTAGATGTAGATTTCAAATACCCCAAGAGTAGCCCCGTGATCCCGCACTGAATAGGACACTGGTGCAATAAAATACAGCATTATTGTGCAGCCGATACCAAAAATAGGCTAAGAAAAGGATGATTTCCCGGCCATGCTGCAGAGGTTTTGTGCATTCGGCCGCATGCAACCCTTGAGCACCCCTGGTATCAAAATACTGCACCTATCATGTATCAGTGTTGTTTCTTCTCCTTATGCCATTTAGAATGCTTGAGCCTAGGTTAGCCCGGTAGCTGATAACACAATTTTCCCCGATACGGTTGGCAATAAGGCTTAGCGCATGTGTGTGAACCACAGAGTTCATAGCACTCCAAAACTTGCCGACTACCAAGTGGAACACAGTCTAACGACATCGTAGATTTGGCAAAGACTGACACCCACTTCTTGCAAGGTCCAGTTGTCGTCTTCCTCGTCCTTTTTGCTACATATCTGTCTGAACGTATATCCTTCTCCGTTAATATCCGCTTCTTTCCCTGCGCCAAGGTATCTCCCTTCATACTATCCCCCACATTCTCATGGTCACCCCTTCCAACCCCTTCACACCACCCTAGTGCATCGCTCCCATGTCTCCACCATCTCCCGCAGTGGCATCCCTTTGATCCATTACCTACCAGTCTATCATTCCCCAAGCCCGCTGTGGTGTTAAATCCATCCTCCAGATTTACTTCAAATCCTAGATCCCTAGAAAAGTTATCCGGCACAGCCGTTTCATCATGAACCTCCTTGAAGCAGATTATTGCCGTTCCATGGCCGACGATATGTGGAAGGAGCCCCACCATACCAACAGAAATCCAGTACAGCAGAGTTAATTATGATTCAGTCACATGAAATCTGAGGACAGAATTTGAGAATCCCATCTTGGGGAGCGAAGGAGTGACGTTTTCTAGTTTTCGACATTGAACACTGCTTTCAAATTCAAGTTTAAGTGATGGTGAGGTGAAAAAACCAAAAAAGAGGAAGTATCTGGCGCGGAGTCGACCAGCAACAGCCACAAAACGACGAATTCAACAACGCGTAAGAGCAATAAGGAATGAATCGTACCAAGCACAATGTCCCTACCCATATCACGCCTTCTCACTCCCAACAATTTTGAACTCATCCGGCCCAACCTCGTCTGCAGCAACCATAATTCTCCTGTCATTCACTGCATCGAGCATAGAATGATACAATGGTGTACCTTTTGATTTCCCTCTATGCTCTAGGCTGATGCTTTCCGAAGGGTATAAATCCCAACCAAATCTCTCAAAGCGAGCCTGGACGTCCTCAGTCATACCGAATATCCTCAACTCTGCACCTTCGCCACCGTACTTTTTTAGGTCAGCCTTAAAGTCGCTGAGCGCAACAAGGCCTGTGGTATCGATTGTTGTCACCATGGACATGTCTAGGACGACGACTTGGATAGGAACTGGGTCATCGAGAACGCCTGCCTTGGCACGCATCTGCTTGATGCGTCGTTCACCGGAGACGCTCCAGTTTCGGTTCACCTTCTGCGCCTCGTATGCGATAACCGAGCCTGAGTTGAATGTCTGCACGACATCAAAGCATTGATCTTTGACACAGAAAGCATTCCAGAAAATGACAGACTGGTTGAACTTGAAGACCTGTGAGTCGAGTGGCACTCCCCTAACACCTGCAGCGCCGTGGAATTTATTGCCTGTGGAATCTTCTCCCACCTCAGCAACCTGTCGAACTCGCGCAAAAGCGGAACTAAGGATGTGGATGAAGACGTTGAACCCAACGGCGGAGGCAATTCCCATTTCAGTTGAGACAAATAGCGTGACCCAGAACGAGAGCATAGATGCGACAAAGTCGGCAAGGGAAGTCTTCCAGTAGCTGTAGAACACCCTGGGTGGCATTATGACATGCCAAACTGCAGTAACAATGATAGCGGCGAGTGTAGCCTTGGGAATCCAGAATAGCGCAGGGCTTAGCTTGAAGATGGCAAGAAGCACAAACCCACCAGCAAAAAGTCCGAACGCTGGCGACTTGACGCCTGTGTCAGAGTGAGAAACTTTATGCTAGACCTATTTCAACTGCTGTACGGGGCATACCTGTGTCAGAATTGACTGCAGTGCGCGACATTGCACCGCCCACAGACATGGAGGAAAAGAAACTGTTGAAGAAATTCGTTACACCAAGATACACAAGTTCCTGAGACTGGTCAACAGCATAATTGTTCTTCCTTCCAAATCCTTTTGCGATTGCGAGATGCTCGAGGGATGCGGCGAGGAATGGAGCGACAGCTCGAGCAAAGACCTTCTGGAACAGGTCAAGCGCGGGCATCTTTGGCGTAGCGATGCCGTTTGACTTTACTTTGCTGATTTCGAAGACAGGGGTTTTGACATTCCTGTTCAAACCGTATGAGATTCCAGTGAAGAGAATGAGAACGACGGCACTACGAGCTAGTGCGAGCAGCCAAATAATCTTGCTTTTTTGACCCCACTTCTGCCCAATCTTTTGAAGCATGACCAAGAGCATGATACCCCCGAAACCAATGGCCATAGTCGCGGGTTTCCACTTTGGCGCTTGGGCGAATATGTCGTGGATTATGTTTGCAGTACCGGTTCCGGCTGAGATCCCGAAGAGAGATGGGACCTGACCCAGCATAATGACGATGGCCGCTGCCGAAACGAATCCATTTAGGACAGGCACAGATATGAATTCGAGGACGAAACCAAGCTTGAAGAGTCCGACGATGAGACAGTATACCCCCACGGACATCGCAACGGCGGAGGAAATGGCTTGAGGTGTGAAGCCTTCCTGGGACACATCTCGAATAATCTCCGCTGTTAAAAGGCCCATGAGTGAAGTTGGTCCAGTTGACATATCTACCTCTTTCGTCAGCAAAGGTCCTTGGTAGAATGATAAGTAGGCTCATACCCTTCGAGGTCCCCATGATGAAGTACACAAAGTTGGGAAGCCAGCTAGACATGAGGCCAAACTCCACAGGAATGGTCGCAATCTTTGCATAAGCAAGAGACTGGGGAATCAGAAGAACTCCCACGGTAAGCCCGGCAAGGCAATCGTAGAGAATCCATCGTGGGTTGTACTTGGGAAGCCATTGAACAATTGGAACCTTATCGAGGAGGTAGTTGACAGATGCGGAGGGAGTAGCACGGGCAACTCTAGTACCGTCGTACTTGATGCGTTGGATAGTATGGTCTGCTGCCACCTCCTCGCGGACCCTCCTGAAGAAGGCCATACGGATGGAAGGATTGAGGTTGAATCAATGAAGACAATCAGGGATACGTATGTGGATAGAAGTGAAAAATTGAAAAGCGAAAGGGGAACAATAGCTGGCCGCCAAAGAGGCAAGAGGGAGGGTAAGCGAACAATCAGATATCTTTATACTTAAGCCCAAGAATGGAAGTTCTCGTTCAACTGCCGTTAGTGTGGCTGCCAACCTTGATATCCCAGAGTTCTCGAAGCAAAGGCGGGCCGATAGAACGACGGTTGACGGAGATCCACCCAGGGACAGAACTAAATTAAGACACTCTGCCAGGGGTGAACCTGCTGGAAAGATTCACATAGATGGGGAAGACGGGATGCCATCTGTTTAGTTTGTCCAATCGCGGGATCGCATTACAAGAAACGCACGGGCATGTCCCAAACCAGACGGGACAGGCCGCTCTAGTTGTACCTATGATGTATGACATGGATGTTCAATGCAAACGTGACCCAAGATAACGGTGATGGTGTTTAGGAGAAACGGCAATGCTTCGTAGACCAAAGGCACAAATGAAACGCTGCGCCATCCCCATGCGGCCCAATGACCAGCTCTGGAGAGATTCCTTGTCACATAATTCGTTATGAACAAGGAATTGGTCGGAACAACTTAAGCTTCAAAGCTTCGCGAGGGCAAAGGTATACAATCCCTGTCCATGGGCACATCACGAAGCGCAGATCGTCTCATGTGGGGGAAATTGAAACGTAGAAACAAGCGGACCCTGAAGGGGACGGAGGAAACGAAGTCCGCAGAAACATATGTAATTAATCCAGTCGAGCAGACTATCAATCATGTACGCTAACATTCAAGTAAACTTGTAAGCAAACATGACGCTGGATCACAATCTTGTTGCAACAATAACTACAAAGCTAAAGTATTGTGGTATCACTGTAAGCAGGAAATTTAAAGTGCAGAAAAGGGAAGAATAGCAATACAAAATTCATTTATAAAAGTACAGACTACAATTTATTAATCTAATTAGGAAATTGTTGTTAGTCACGCAACGCAAAAATTTACCTCTTCTTTAGACAAAAATTAACATAATCATATACGTATACTGTACACCACAGGCAAGTTGCTTACACACCTAAGTTACTTACTTTTGCTAAGACTACACTAAACTACTTTTTCTACACTACTAAATTCCTAAAAACACTACCTAGACATAGTAAAGGAATGTTAAATATAGCTTACACTTTAAGCTTTTAAATAAGACGTAACACTTTCTAAGTAATATACTATAGCTATGTATAAAGTCTGTTAAAAGATAATAAATAACTAACACACTACAGAACTTTTATTAGCTAATTTTATAACTAACTTATAAAAGTTAGATAATAATAAAAAGTAAGTAATTATTAAGTATATACTTAAGCTAAATACATAAGGATTTTCTTTTTAGCTAGTAGCTATAGCCAATTTGCTAATTCTTTGTACGCTAAGTGTAATCTAGGCTATGTTAGCATAAACTAGCTTAGTACATGTATAAAGTGTTATCTAGAGCTTAAAGTAAAGTTTAAGTGTAAGTATAACTATAAAAAGCTTTTTATAAAGATCTTAAAGTAATTTAAGGCTAGTTTAGCCTTATAAAAATATTAAAGCTAAGTGTCCGTACGCAGCAGCAGCGTCGCGGCCTGGATACGAACGATCGCGCACGAGCAGGATCACGTATCTATGTCACATGATGCTCGTGCGCGAACCTCTGTGCGCGAACATCTAGATATCCCCCTTTTCCTCTGTACAAAGGAAAGACAAGAGCAATAGAACTAGAAACATGTTACCCTTACTTTACCTACCTTATATGCTGTGCACACTGTACACTACTCTTACTCTTGCTACTTAAGTGCTTATACTATAAGTAGCTAGCTATTAGAGCCTATTTAACACTAATTAGTAGTTAATTTAATTAACTATAAATTAGTAAGAGTAATAATAAAGTACTTATACTTTATAAAGTACTTTATTTTATTACTTATCTTTTAAAAAGAGTAATAGCAGAGTACTTACACTTTATAAAGTACTTTATTTAGTTACCTATCTCTTAGAATAGTAGATTAATTCTTTACATTATACAGCAAGCTCTACTACTATATAAAGTAAAAAAGAGATAGTATAAAACGCACACTAAAGCTACTAAAGCTGCATAACCTAGTAGCTAGATAATAGCATATTAATTCTTTACATTATACAGCAAGCTCTGCTACTGTACAAAGTAAAAAGAAGATAGTGTAAGGTGCACACTAAAGCTATTAAAGCTGCACAACCTAGTAGCTAGACAACAGCAGTACCTGCGCAATCTACTAGAAAAGAAATTAACTATACTATTATAATAAAATCTTATTAGTAACTAATAACTCTGTGTAATAATAAAAAAAATAAAAAATAATTTTTATTATATAAACAACTTATAAAAAACATAGAGATATTAGAGGCAACACTATAAAATAAGACTAGCCTAGAGTACTAGAATAATAAGATTAACATGTTAGAAGCTCTAATAAGCCTATAGACTTAATTATACATAAGTTATATAATTACTAATCTATATATAATAACTTAAAAAGGCGCTACTTTTCTAAGTGCATACATAAAGAATTTTAAAGAATAGACACTATAAGACTTTTTAGCACTTAGCTACACATTTAAAAAAGAGCTTATATAAGTGCTAGAGGACAAAGAAATTACACTATAGCTAGGCACTAAAGGTACCTAAGCCTAGAAGCTGTATAATATAGCATAAGAAAAGGTAATTATACTAGAAAAGCTTTATATGTAACCTTTATTACTATATAAGGCTCTGCATAGAAGCAGACTAAACACAATGCTGCTATTAACACTAAATATACTAGCATTACCTGCTTCTACACCTTAGCTAGCACTACACTAATCACTGTACAAACAATACATGCCACCCTACCTAACGCCTGCTCCACACCCTCAATCATACACACCACCGCCTGCAGTAGTGTATGCACCACTAATACCACCTGCACAATCTATACTACATTATAACCTGTACAAACTTCTACTCTAAAGAGAAACTGCTAAAGAAAAACTCCTAGCAGATAAGATTATATAATTTTAAAAAGCATAAAAAAAAATAATAACTATATAAGTTAACTATATAACATCTTTATAAATAAAATAAGGATCTTTATTAATCTATGTTAATAGCTAGATATTTAGAAAACTTAGTACATAAACATTTTTCTAGATATTCTAAAAAGTTAGGTAAATATGTACTATATACACAACATAGGCTCTAGACATAACTAGAAGCATTTATATAACACCTTAAGTAGTTACTTTAACACTAATGTAAACTATAGCTAGTACTAGACAGACTAGATAATAATAACTTTTATATAATACTAATAAAAAAACTTTAATAAGAGTTTATATAAAGTTTTTAAAATAATAATTAATAAGCTTACACTTATATAAAAAGCACTAAGAATAAAATTCTAAAAGAATGTTCTACTGCACACTACTATTATATAAGCCTGTTAAGAATAACTAGAACTAGAATATGCTATGTTTACTATTAAGCCCTTATATAAAGCCTTATTTAGTAACCTATAAGCATTACTCTAAGTTACTATAGACTAAAGAGTAAACTAATACCTCTAGGAACTGCCTAATGCATACTACACAGACTACTAATATAACTCTGCATAACAAGAAGGAAGCTTCCCTCTGCGCAGAAAAGAATAATGTAGAAGATCTTTATCTAGGTTTAGGCCACAATCTAGAGACAACTGCACACAGATAAAGAAGTGCTTTATCTGCTATAAAGAAGAATGTTAGTTATTAAACTACTCTTATAATAACTATACGCAAGCAAAGAACTAGTATGTTGCTTTATATAAAAATTTTTATAATAAGACCTTATTATATAAAGCTATTACCTTATACATCTAAGACTTTAAAGGTTACTCTAAGAAAAAAAATAATTTACATAATATAAAGAAAATAGAATAAGAGAGTAAGGATGCTAAAAAAGCTATTAACTACTTTACCTCTACTACTTATTTACACTGTGCAACAGGAGAGGACATCTACAGCATTAAACCTAAAAAATATGCTAAGCAGTTTATCCTTAATAACTAATACTATATAGTATACTAAGGCAAACTATAAAATATAAGTGTAGTAAAAATCTTTACTATTAGCAAGTTCTAACTTAAGGCGTACATATAAGAGAACCTATATATAAAAATTAATTAAACACCTAGCTAAACAAATATTAGCTTTAAAGGCTAGACACTAAAGGAATTAATTAGTACTATATAAATCTAGAACTTAATTAGTCTAGTTACATACTATATTTTAAAGACTTTAATACTATTTCTGCTATTACTAGTAAATGCTAACTAACTTAGGGCATACTTTAACAACATTTTAAATGTTATTATACATAAAAACAAAACTACTATACTTATTATATAAAAATAAAGACACTTTTTTTTAATATTAGTAAAGAAGAATCTATATCTTTCTTTACTAAATTAAAACTCTACTGCCTCTACTGCTAATTTAGACACCTCTGCATAAAGAGACTCTAGAAGATGCTAACTAGCGCTAGCTATAATGTTAATGCTGTAGTGCTAGAAAAGATTAAGAAGTTCTGCTACCTCTACTAATTATATAACTAGGCCCTATAAAGATTTAAGTTTATAATTAAGAATAACACTTACTTTAACTATAAAGTTATTATTAATGCTATATAAATTAATAATAGAGATGTCTTATATATTATTAATGTAGACACATTATTTTAGGCTGCTATATTTTTAAAATCTATGTCTACATAAGATACCTAGAATGCACTATGTAAATGCTAGATTAACACCTATTAAGAACCCTTAGACTATATTATGCATAACTCTAGTATAAACTTTACTTTAAAGGATTTTTAAGCTTATGTAAAAATTATAAAAGCTACATGCAGGCAGATGCCTATAGAAGCACATTAGGCAGTTAGAAAGGTTAAGCGCGCGCACACACCTCTCTAATAAGTGTTTAACATCCTAAAGACTAAGCTAGGTAACTGTATAGATAATAAGGCTATTCTGCAGATAGCAGTTAAGGCTCTAAACAACACAGCTAGCCTATATAGTCTAGTACCCACACTGCTAGTCTTTAGGGCATACCTAAGAATTAACCTAAACTCTCTACTATTACTAGACATTATTACATAAGTAAGTGCTATATAAAAGGTAATAAAGATACTTTAAAAGAACTATATAAAAGTAAATATTAATTATGTAATTAACACTTATAATAGCTTTATAACACATAAAGTTCTTAACTTCCCTCTTAGTTTAAAAATTATAGCATAAAGAGAGAAAAAAAGCTAGACTAGCTTATATAAAATTAAAAGCATTAAAAAAAAAGATATTATTATTAAAAAAAAAAATAGCTTACTAAAGCTTTAATATACGCAGGTTAAACTATACTATAAAGAAAAGAAAAAAGATAACCTACCTGTAATAAATAACCTAGATAAACTAATCCCTGTATAAAGGGATTCTCTAAAGAAAAGAAAAAAAGGACAGCTTTATAAAAATGTTGCAGAGGCAGAACTAGAGCCTACTATAGACTAAGCCCCTTAGAATAGTAATGCTGCACTAGTGCAAAGGGAAGATATAGATACTAGAAGAAGTAAAAGGTAAAGAAAACTTATATAAAGTCTAGACTAGGTATTTCTAACTTAGAAAGAGAAGGATAATTAGGCTTTGTCTATTAAGCTTTATATAGATAGTGTAATTACTACACCTAGAAAACTATTTAAGAAATTAGACTATATAAAAATAGACACTTTAATTACTAATAGCACTTTTAAAGTTATAGTGTATAACTTAATAAAGCATAAAGGTTAGATTTTTAACCTTTGCCTTATATAAGAAGTAAAAGGCAAAACAACCTAACTATATAAGAAATCCTGCCTAGTGTTTGCTAGCTACTTAGATAAAGAGAAGGGAGAAATCCTTACTTAGTTACTAACTATCTAAAGAATAAGCTAGAGACTACTTTTAGCTATAAAAGTAAGCCTAAGAGCTATGTACAAAATGCATTTTAAACTATGTAATATTATATAAGTATACATCTAATTAATAAATAAGCTTATACGCACGCTGTACACAAAGCTACTAAAGAAGATGCGCTAGAGCTTTCTACTAAATATAATACTCTAGGTTGTATAACCTTTGTATAGAGCTGCTAAATTAGGACTATATTAGTTTAAGACATACTATAACTACTATAAAAAAAAGCTATACATGCACATTTTTTTATACAACCCCTACTTTTTAATTACTAATAAAGAAGAGCACACTTTTAGTATTACTAGCCTATAAACAGACAACACTTTAAGCATTATAATAAAAGATTTTACACAAAAAGAAAAGAAAAAACTATAAAAAGTAAAGTTCTACATAAAGAGTAAGACTATCTTAGTAAAGAAGTAGCTTATTAAGTTTAATAGTAGAAGGATTAAACTTACGCATAACATAGTAGTTCTTACTTAAAAGAGATAAGTAAGCTACCTTTATATAATTAACCTAGAAAATAAGAATGCTGCATAATAATATGTTAAGCAACATGCTAAAGGGGCATATATTGCATTTATGTGTTAACTAAAGGTAGCATTTAACCTGTCTATTACTATATAAACTATAAACTCTTTACATAATAATATTAACACACTTAATGCATAAATCTAATAGTAAATAGATAATAGTAAGCGTAGTCTTACTTTCTTACTATTACAGCTTAATTATGTAAAGCTGTTTATCTTTATAGATAAATTATTTGCTAATAATAAAAACTTTAGCTTATAGCTAGGATTTTTAATTATATTAAGTAATAAAGACTATATAAAGTAAAGTAACTACTTTAAAATACTAGGCAACATTATATACTAGAATTCTACTAAGTATAAAAGAGTAACTAAGAGTGTTCTTACTAGTAAACTATATAGAATAGTTAAAAAGTTTAATAATGTAATTACCTTTAGTATAACTCTATAGTAAATTATATAAACACTTAAACTGCTACTAATTCTAGTAGTAATCTACATAGATTTAAGGTTTTTATATAATTACTTTATTAAGCTAGGCACTACTAGTAAAAAGTAACTTATAATTAACATTATGTTACTTTATAAATTATACAAGAAAAAGGAAATTACTAAGATAAAGTAGATTAATAGTAAAAATAACTTAGTAAATGTATATATAAAAAAAACACTAAACTAGGCTTTTTAATTATTAGTCCTAACTAACTGCCTCTCTATTTAGATAGAAGCATCTGTAGACTAGCTAGATTTTATGCGCAAAAATGCTCTAGACTAACTAGACTAATAACACCTTTATATAAGGCTTATTTTTTTTATTTTTTTTATTATACACACTTATTTTTTCTTATTACAAAATTAGAAGAGAAAGATATGTAAAAAAGATAGTCTATTTATCTAGTATACAGAAAAAGAAAAAGCTACTACCCTTTATATATAGTAGTTATAATGCAGACTACAGCTCTGCTATACGCATAAGGCATAGGCATTAGCCTAGAAGTTAGCTAACATATAACACTTAATAAAAAAAAAGGCACTAGTAGTGCTACTATAATAATAAGCACATAAAGTTGCTAGGACCTAACTATAACTCTAGACTAAGACTGCACAGAAGTACCCCTTATAACGCATAACCTTTGCTGCCTATAGCTGCAGATTAGTGCTAGCAGGCAAGATAACATTAATATTATAAAATAGTAAAGCTGCTATATGCTACTTTTTAGCCTATCTATAATTAGCATTTTATATAAAAAGAAAGTAAAAGAGCTAAAAAATTTATATATTTATGCTAAGACACTAAATAAACTGCTAATTAGTAGTAAAACTAGTTAGAAAAGTAACACAGATGCGCCCTAGGCTGCTAGACTACACAAGGACGTTAAAGACGCCCGCACTAATAGCGCTAGAGGTAGAGGAGGAAGGCTGGAGAGACATCTCTCTCTCTCTCTCTCTGTGTGTGTGTGTGTGTGTGTGTAGGCGGGAGTATCTGTCACTGTTAGCACTGTACAAAAAGAGAAAAGAGCTAGGGAATAGTATAGTAGGGCTTAGAAAGTAAAGAATAAAGAAAAGAAAGTAAAAAAAAAGAGAAGACCTTATTATATACACCTCCCTACGCACCTGCCTACGCAAAGATCCTACACTATTCTAGCATAAAACTCTACATAAAATAGTTTATACACTGCTAAATTACTTACAAAGCAAGCGCATAAAGGCTAGATAATAATAGCCTAAAACACTCTACACTATTTATAGAGCTATTTACATAGTGTAACTAGCCTATTTTAATGTACAGCATTACTAAGGCAAGTCCTAATAAATAAAGTAGAGTAAAGGTAGAACGTAATTAGATAGACCTACACAGATAGAAAAGAGGTAATGCGTACAGAAGGCAACTCTTTAGATAAAAAGAAAAGTTGCTAGTGTCTGTACACAGCAGCAGTGTTGCGGCCTAGATACAAACAATCGCGCACAAGCAGGATCACGTATCTATGTTACATAATGCTTGTGCGTAAACCTCTGTGCGTGAACATCTAGATATCCCCCTTTTCCTCTGTACAGAGGAAAGACAAGAGTAATAGAACTAGAAACATGTTGCCCTTACCTTACCTACCTTGTACGCTGTGCACACTGTACACTACTCTTACTCTTGCTACTTAAGTGCTTATACTATAAGCAGCTAGCTGTCAGAGCCTATTCAACACTAAGTATAGTATTTAGAATAATAACACATACAACTTTAATAAAATAGGCTTTATAATAGGCTAGATATCTACTAACTATACTTAAACTTAAAACTTTCCTTTAAGCTTTAGATAACACTTTATAAACATACTTAGCTAGTGTATACTAACATAGCCTAAATTATGCTTAGTGTGCAAAGAATTAGCTATATTAGCTATAACTGTCTGTACGTAAGTACAGCTGTGTCCGTAGACGCGTACGGCTAAATTAGGTTGCCTGAAACGTTGGCTATCTAGCCTATGCGTTAGGGGCTATGTGTACTTAAAAGCCCTCTTTCTTTATATAAAAAGAGAGGGCAGTAGTTAATAACAAGAAGATCTTTACCTACTTACCTCTTAGTACGCCCCTTAGGTGTATGTTTATTTAATTAAACCTAGGTTACCTAACACTAATTAGTCTATTAATAAACTATTTACTGTGTGTGTAGCCACGCAGAGGATATTATCCTTAATAGACAGATTTGCAAGGATTAATAAAACTGCTACTGTATAAGAAGCTTACTCCCACTGCGTGCGTAGCTACATAGAGAGGGCTTAGATGCTCACACCCACTGCGTGCGTAGCCACGCAGAGAGGGCGTAAATAAGCCTTATGCGCGCCTCTAGATTAACTAATTGCACAAAGACAAGATTAGCAACCTGCTGCGTGCGTAGCCACGCAGAGAGGGCTTACTGCTAAGCCTTTGTGCGCCCTAGAGCCTCCTGTTAATACAGGCTGTGCAACTACTTGCCTACCGCGTGCGTAGCCACGCAGAGGAGGCTCCTTATCAGCGGCCCGCCTCGCCAACACCCCCCCCTAAGAACAGCCGTACGAACACACGACCAGCACCACCTACCCCCTACCCTACCCCCCCCCAGACAACAGCTGTACAAACGCCCCCCTCTCCTAACAGCCGTACAAACAAGCAACCAGCCCCCGCCCCAGAGCCAGCCTGCTACTCCGCACAACAGCTCGCTCTTCAAGAGCCACTGTACAGTCAACCACCACCACCCAGACAACCGCCGTACAAACGCAACTAGCACCCACCCCCCCCCTCAATCAATTGCCTGCACAAGAGGCAATAACTAACTAACACCTCCCTCCCTCCCTTTTACCCCCCTAGGGATTAATCGCTCACACAGAAGGCAACTAACCAACACCTCTCCTCCCCCCCTACTCCCCTAGGGATTAATCGCTCGCACAGAAGGCAATTAACCTACACCCCCCCTAAGCTATAGTGTCTTTGTACACCTTATATAAAGAGTTATTAGGGGTTACACGTGTGTCTAAAACAATCCTACGCAGAGAGGTAGATTTAGATCTTCTGCATAATAGAATAGATACAGACTCTCCCCTACTAAAATAATAAGCTTTATACGCAGTGTACATCCTCTTAGACATGTGTAAGCTGCTAAGAGGAAAGTACACACTATAAAAGCAAAATAACTTTAAGGGATAGACAACACATAATTTTAACAACCTTCTTTATGTAGTTAGGTAAGAACTTCTTCTTACTCTAGCTAAGCATAGGCACTATTCTAGAGGCAGGTTAAATTATACGCAAGCTAAGAAGCTAGGGGATATTATAAATAAAAGAAGCACTAAGAGTTAGCTCTAGAAAAGAAAGTAAGAGAGTAAAAAAAAAAAAAAAAAAAAGTAAAATTAATATATAAATAAGTAAGTAACTTTATAAAAGTAAAAAGTTACTAGTGTTTATACATAAGTTGTTAGATATGCGCACCTACTGTCAAGACAGGAGGAACGTTTGACGAAAGCTGCTACATAGTACAAGCAATAAGCTCGAACAGTATGTTGCTGCAAATT